CTAGCGGAAGATTCATTCAATTTTGCTTTTCTTTTTTTTCATTGATTGATTGATTGATTGATTGATTGATTGATTGATTGAATTGATTGAATTGATTAATTGATTGGTGGTGGTGGGGTCGCCCCCCCACCCCCCACAGGCGTGTGATACGCAACCTCACGCCCCCTCGCGGCTTCCCGTACGGGATCGCCGATCAGAGTTCTAGGAGGGGCGTGGCCGAGGGTTTTTGGCCGTAAGGGTTGAGTCTCCTGGACGGAACGGGAGGCCCTCGTTTCGTGCCAGAGGTTTTCTCCGGAGTCGAACTATCGTCGCGGAGTCCCGTGGGGGTCGGATCACTCCGAAACGATAAAATCAAAAAAAGGTTTCCGCAAAAATGAACTGCCGTCATGCATGGGGACGGAAAAAGGCATCAAGGGGAGAGGGTCATGGCGTCGGAGGACAAAACTTCGGTCGTCAGGGGCTTGGGGGATAGGTGGTGGGTTCGAAGCCTTCAGGCCTCATCATCGGCCTCACAAAGTGTCCGAACCCTCGGGTCTTTGCTGTGGAGGTGGTTGGTTCGAGGCCTTCAAGCCTCGGCGTCGGACTCACAAAGTCCGCGCGAAAGTTTCCGGGAGGGTAAAGCGGCGGGAGGACTCGCCGGCATCTGAATTCGAAATTGCGCGGGCAGCGCCCCCGCACTACGGGAAAGCTCGGGAAAACGTGTCGCTCCCTCGTAACCCTGGACCAGCCGTCGCCAAGAACACGAGTCCCGCTGGCGACACCAACGACAATCAAACTGCGGCCGCCACACGGCGTGAGCGGCCGACCAGGGCAACACCGTCAAACCCATATAAGGCAATATTAGAGTCGGGGAATCAAAACGACCAATCAAAACAAACCCGTTCCCCCTTATCTCACAAGCCCGAGGCGGGTCTTGCCAACACACTTGCTCCGTCCGCCTCAGCGCGCGCCGTACGTCCGCATCGCAATAGACGCTGTCGTCATCTGCGATGGGGAAGGTCGGTAGCGAGATGAGACGATCGGAGGTACGTGATGAACACGGGCAAGGTCCCGCGTTCCCGGTCATCCGAACCAACACCGAATCCATACAACAATCGTCGCAACTCTTCTCTCTCTAAGGTGGGTGTGTCGAGGGAAGACGACGAAGTCTGAGCTCTCTCCCCTTGCAGGGGCGTCGACCGTCCACGCGGATGCAAGCGGTTGACGTCACCGGTACGGGGGCGAAAAGCTAAAAAAAAAAACAATGACTATCCGTTCAAAAAGGAAAGCAATCGAGAGGGAGAGAGAGAGAGAAAGTGAGTTACGCCGAGACCGCACACGAGCGCAGGAAAGACCACTGAGGGGAGGGGAACAACCGGATCAACACACTCGTACTCCTAAGCAGACGGTCCTCCAGTTCAGTTTCCCCATCCCAGCCCGGACGAGTACATACACACATACATGCATGCAATCAACAAACTTTGACAAGACATCTAATCATCCATGGACCTTCGACATCACTCGTGCGCACCACCCGCTCCCATCACTCGGGGCTTCACACACACGACATGCATAGACAAAGCAGCAATGGAGATAAAAGCGAGTCCTTCTTGTACACAAAAATTTCAATTAACTGCAGCCCCCAGGCGCAACCTTCAAAACTCCCCAAGACCACCGACCACCCTAGCCACAAGGCGCTGCCGCGGCCGGCGTCCAATCCCCACCACTCCTCAATCCCTCCGACTGCTTCGCCCCGAGACTACCGCGGGTCCACCCCACGTCGTCACTCCGCCCGTCCTTGGGCTCGTCGAGCCTGTTCGACGCCGCGGACTCTCGCGCATAGCTCTCGCAGCATTGCAACAGAGATAAAAAAGAGAGCGAGAGGAGAGGGTTTATAGCGCGGGAGATGGCGGGTTAATAGCGCAAGGTGCGGGCAGCGCAGGGTGTAGATGAGCAGGACAGGAGAGAGGTGGGGAGTTAGAGGGTTCGACCCGCGGGATTGCATGGCTACGTGATTGGGGTGTTCGTCCAAGTRGTGCGCGGTTTCCCGCTTTCCACATTGATCCGAGCATCCCAACTACACAGCCAATCACTTCGCGGAGGAAGACGGGGTAAGGATCAAGCTGGGCGTAGGGGAAGACGAAGAGTCCAGCTGGAGGGAAACGCGCGTAGCAAGAAAGGAAGATGGCACGGGGACGCAAAGCAAGAAACGGGGGTGCAAGGCGCGCGAAGAATTCAGAGCTTAGACGTGCGCGCGCAAAAAAAAAAAAAAAAGGTCCCAACCGAAACWGTTTCTTGCTTTTCCTACCGCGGCCGCTATTCGTCCGCGCGGGAGTTATTAACCAACAAAAATGAAAAAGCCATTTCAAAAAGAAAACGAAAGCAAAAAGAAAGAAAAACCCCTTTCTATCCGCATCAGTACTTCGGGGCTTCCGGGGGATTTTTCCTGAGGGATACGCCAAGTCGCGCTGTACGGATCTGAGCTTATCACATCTGTGATACGCAGGGGGTTCCGAAAAATTAGCATTCTCCCGACTGCTAATGTCAGCATATCTTGGATGATCGGGCGGCCTCTTCATCGTCAGCTGGCCCGATCATCTTCCTAATCTACATGGATGCATCCCGCATCCTCCATCGCCTCCTCCCATAGTATACATTCGATCGGGCGGCCCCTTCATCTTCAGCGCGTATCATCGCGCGAGCTTTAGAACTGGAAAAGAAGAAGAAAAAGAAAGAGGCGGTGGTGGAGATGATTATAGGAAGTAATCAATCTCCGGATTGAGGGGGGGAGGAAGAGGAGGAAGAAACGCTGCGAGCGTGGCCAAGTTGGCCCGCACTTCCACTTCATTGAAGTGGTGTTGGACAAAGGAGGGGTAAAGGAAAGCCCCCGACACATGCGAGAGGAACCGTGGCGCGAGATCGGCGATCGCTCGAATGATTTGTCATCGCAGCGGCCGATTTCACGGACCCGTCAGCACTAGATGGGTCTCCGTGTACGGCCTCCGCTCCCGCTTAACCGCCGCGAAGACCAGGATATGGTACATAATATTGGGCCGCCCGCAGGTTTCGTAGATGAGTGTGCCCACCAACCTCGCCGCTATACATCCATCGAATGGAGGCTGCAAGAACGCCTCCCATGCCGGATCGGGACGTGGCGCCCCCTTGATGGCCTCAAGCCTGAGGGTGGCCAGTTCCACCATGTGATCCACGTCGGTTTAATGGACCGTCCGGCTCGGGGGAACTGCTAATGTCAATGACCGAGGTATCCTGGGCGGGCTGGCGAAATCGGAACGGTCCTGCAAGGAGGGGGGGTCTTGATGCGGGATATGGAACTCGTCCCAATCCCCCCCCTGCGCTTGATGGCCCGGCTGCATGGCTGTTGAGATCGGGAGGCGGGGCCGCTGAGGTGTCGACTTCGGATGGCCTGTGGATCTCCGCGGCTCTTCGGCGGGGTGGTCCTCCCCCGGTCGGGACCCGATGATGAGTGTGGCTCTTCTCTCGCGAACCGGATCGACTTCGTGCACCGGCGCAGGCTGGACGACCTCCTCGACAGGCCCCACTCGGCTGGCCTGAGCTTCCGGCGATGGACTTCGTCGCCGCTTCGGGACGGTTCTCTTTCTTGGTGCCTTCAAGGCCGCCGGCTTTGGATACGATGATGGAGGTCGCAGCGGCTTATCTTCGTGCCCGAAGTCCACCACGGACTCCCCTTCACGCGCCAGATAGTCAGGTATCACCGCCGCGTTGTACGATCTGGGCGGAGCTGAGAAGGTCCGTAGTGTAAGCTGCAAGTCTTCTTCTTCCGCGGTGATTACCTGCGCAATGGACAGCAGCTCGATGTGAATGAGCTGTAAGAGCCCCGGGCGATTCGTTCTTATCCTCCCAAAAGGATAAAGTGCCACTGTTCCCTCCTTCCGCTCTGGCTTCGGATTGGCGATCACGTAGTACACGTGGAGGAATTCGCCGACGTTATGAACTTCGTGCTCCACAAAGAATGTGAACATGCCCAGCACCACCGATGAATACAGCGCCCTATGCAGCTCCCACGTGTCCTCGTCGGCGGGCGGCAACTGCTCCACGTCCGTCAGCTCCACTAGGTACTCGGGAAAGTTGCACATAGGATAGGGGAGCCGCGTCAGTTGATAAGGGAGGGTAGTGTAAGAGAAAAAGGGAGGCATTTAGAGAGAAGGGGAAGGGACAACTTGGATGTTGAGGGGCTCGGCGGGAGGAAGGAGCGCGGAAAGCTGCGGCACCAACGCAAGTGCTCCCTCCGGAGTCTGCCGCAGAAGTCCTTCGTATGCAGTGAAGCGATGAGTGCCCCGAGCCTGCACTCGCGCCACCGATCTCGCCACCTTAAGGGCGTAATCGCGCAAGAATCTATACGCCGGCTCCCGATCGTGCCTGGGCAAGACGGTCAAATCCCCGGTGAGAGAAGCGATGCTGTGCACAAAGTTCGTCGCCACCTGGATGGCTCGGAACTCGATGAACACTCGCGTGGATTCCTGGCCAGGCACGGGCGATATGTCCACATAGACACCCGCGTACGTCACCCGCTGCGCGAGGAGCGAGTACACTGCCAAGTCGGGAACGCTGGGTGCCGGCACGTTCACCTGCTGAATGTCAAAGTGCAGCTGCCGATCGTCGTTGAACCGGTTCCGGAGAAGAGCGTCCGAGATGGGCGGCTGGAAGTGCTCAACAGTTCATGCTCCTGTTGGCGATGGTTCATCCTGCGAGGCAAGGTCTTCCGCGGATGCCGACGACGCCGATCGGAGAGAAGGGGAAGAAGGAGGCGAGGACGAAGGAGCACGAAAGGGGGACGAAGAAGGTAATTTGGGCAGGACAGGTGACTGCATGAGACCTAGCGATGGCCGGAAAGGCCGGAGGGCAGCAGCGTGCCTCGTCAGCGGTCGGGCCTAGGAGTTGTGACGGGGAATCAGCTTCACAGAGTGCTGTCCATGTGCGCCAACTTCCGTGACCTCGTAAATCCCTGTGTAGCGTGGGTGGATCTTGGAGGAGCGCGCAGATTTCCATACCTGCACCAAGTCCCCAATTTTATAGCGGGGCAGTAGTCCCGCCGACGCGTGTCGATTCTCGTAGTCACGGATCTGCCGTTGATGTGTCCGATCTATGGCCTGATGTCGACGACGAGCTAACGGGGGATAGGCCCTAGCCATTAAGTCCATGTAGTGGCGGGCCTTATCTCAGTTCCGGGCCCGTGTTGCTCTAACTTCCATACCTACTAATGGGGACAATTGCACCCGAGGGACACTATTGGTTCTCAGTTGAAAGGGGGACACCCCAGTAGTACCGTGTGGGGTAGCCCGATAAACGGCCAAGACGTGGTCGACAATGACCGGCCAGGGCCGAGTGTCTCCCGGAGTGATATTCCGTCTAAGGGCGGTCTTAATCAGTCGGTTGGCATTCTCTACCAGGCCATTGGCTTGAGGCCAATGGCCCGGCGAGTAGATAATCTTAACGTCCGCCCTGACTAGGTGATGTTCTACTTCGCCTTGAAATTCCGACCCATTGTCCATGTGTATGTCTTCCATGTCTGGATGCATGTACAAAAATCGATTTACGTACCAGGCTACCTCCTGCGAATTTCGGCTGGTCATAGGGTACGTCTCGATCCATTTTGAAAAATGATCGACGGCTACTAAAAGAACATTGAGTTCTCTCTGATCGACGGGACCTCTCGGAACGTTGATATCCGTTGTATCGATGCTAACCCTCTGAAAGGGGCGCTCTACACGAGTGGGCACCATCGTCCGAGGCATCTGTACCGGCGCCTTGTCCGCCGCGCAGGCCGGGCAATTCAGAACGATGTATTTCACATCTTCCCGAGTTCCCGACCAGTACCATCCGTTCTTTTCTATGGCTTTTTCCGTGTACTTGAACGCAAAATGGACCGCATCCTCTTCATGAGCAGCTCGTGTCCAATCGAACCTAGCGAGAGGGTGTGGAACCGTCAACCAGCTAGACCCTCCGTCATCATCGACTTTTCGTTTTTGTAACGTCGGTCCCTACCAACGATAGTCTTGTGACCGCTCCGTAACTCTCCGCCTCTCAACTTTAGTAAGTTCTGACAGCGAGTCGCCTGACAACCTCCGTAGCAACAGAAGGTCCATCCAGGCTTCTGCCCGGCGGGCACTTGGCGCAAATCCATCGGCTTTTCTGGCGTCCAGATACCGCTTCTCGGTAGGGACTTGGTCCGTTCTACAGTTGGGACAGACCCATGTCTTTTCACTTCAGTACCTAACGCACTGTCCGTGATATTTGACCGTATGGCACCGACTACACTGTACCCATAAAAGAAAACTGGGCCCTCCCGGATGTGACCCTTCTTGGTCCGGGACCATAGGCAAAGTACAGAAGAAACAGGGACTTAGATGCGTTTCAGGGGACGAGTAGGGACTAGACGAGAGAGCGAGGGAGTTGGATGAGGGCAAAGAGATCGCGTCTGCCATCTCCGGTGAAACCTCCATTCCGGACTCAGGCGTCGTTCTTGCGCAACACTTGTAGCTCTCCGTAGTGTGGTTTCGTCGCCGCGACTTCTAACCTCAACGGAATGAGTCGCTCGTTGGTGGGACACTTGTTGGGCGGCAGGAGGCGTGTTAATCCATCGGCGTTACCATGCTGCCGCGTGGCACGGCGGCGGATGCCGAAGTCATAGTCTTGCAGACACACCGCCCACCTGCCCAGCGTCCCCGTGTAGTCCGTGTTGTTGCGTAGGGACAGTAGCAACTGATGATCCGTTACCAACACAAATTTCTGGCCGTATAGATACGGTCGGAAAGGCTGGATCCCCCACACCACCGCCAGGCATTCACCTTTGCACGCTTCGTAATTAGCCTGCGCCTGGCTCAGCGTCTTGGACGCATACTCAATGATGTGTTCCCTTCCCTCCGCCCCGTGCTGAGTCAGCACCGCCGATATCGCCTGAGGCTGCCAGTCTGTGTACAATGCGAACAGTCTTGTCGGGTCGGGGCGCGCCAACACAGGAGCAGATGTCAAAGCCTCCTTCAATGCCTAAAATGCCGCTTCGCATTCCGGTGTCCAGATCAACTGTTCCTTTTTCTTCAGCAGGTTCGTGAGGGGCTTCGCTATACCGGCGAACCCTTTGATGAAGCGTCGGTAATAGGATG